TATTAATGGACATGTCGATGAACAAATAAATATAAACGATATAGGTAATGCATTTATTTTACCCTCGAGTTTTATTGGTAGTCCACGGCACATGCAGGAATATACACAAGATGCAATGACTTATGTACGTCATTACGGCCGTCCAGATTTATTTATTACATTTACATGTAATCCGAAATGGGAAGAAATAAAAAATCTGCTATTACCAGGCCAACAATCGACACATCGTCATGATATTACTGCGCGCGTGTTCAAACAAAAATTAAAATCATTGATGAATTTCATTGTGAAATATTCGGTTTTTGGTGAAGTACGTTGCTGGATGTATTCAGTCGAATGGCAAAAGCGCGGTTTGCCCCATGCACATATCCTGATTTGGCTTGAAGATAAAATCCATCCAGAAGAAATTGATCAAATAATTTCTGCCGAAATTCCAGATCCATCAATCGATCAGGAATTATTTCATATTGTTACCAGTCACATGATTCACGGACCCTGTGGTGTTTTCAACATGATATCTCCATGCATGGAGGATGGAAAATGTAAAAAAAAATTCCCAAAACAATGTATTAATGATACTATTACAGATATTGACGGTTATCCATTGTATCGACGTAGAAACGCTGAGAATGGTGGCCACACATTCACGATGCGAATGTCNAAATTTAAACGTTTAATAAATCTTGTTTAAACGTTAAATTTTAACATTGTAATTTCAATTAAATTATAATATTTATTAAATAGTTTTGATTGACAAATGCTGTCTGGGTTATGACAATTTTAATATAAACAAGTATAGAAAATATTCCTATTTTGTAAACTAAATGTTTTGAATTATAATAATTATGACTACAGTTGATAAACATATAAAATATAATCGATTATTTCAAAAATAGTAATATTTTGTGTGGCCAAGGAATAAAAATGTAATAACGCAAAATAGATGATTTTTTAATACACGGTTTTTTAAAAATAAAATTATACAGTTTTTCAAATCTTTGACAGGACTAATAAGATGCGTAATTTTTTTAAGCTTCTATTTGAATTTTTAATGTATCGAAATTTTTCGAATTGTTTACTTTGGGATTACCAATTGATAAATAAAACTAAATATGCAAGCATTTATGCATTAAAAAACTTTAGAATGTGTACTTTTAGTATAAATTAAAAAAGTTTTTTCTAGCGATTTAATTAAAAAATTTATTTTAAAAAAACATTTAAAGACAAGCAATTACTGACAAAGAAAAATCAAGTGGCTAACATTAAAAAAATCACATGATACCTGATTGAATTTTTTTTTTTAGTTAAATAATTTACATTCGTGAGTTTATTTGATATAACATTCGTTAACGTTTTAACAGACGATTNTTTAAATTCGTGAGTTTATTTGATATAACATTCGTTAACGTTTTAACAGACGATTTTTAAAGAAAATCTTCAAAAAATCCAACCAAAAAGTATATATAATCAGATATAAAAAGCATATATACTCAAAATTAGTAACAATCGATTATTCTTATGAAACGAATAAACGATTTTAATTTCGAGTAATTTTTTCGAGAGATTCTTTCGATTATATCCATTACTAAATATAATAAATACGTATACCTAACGAAAATTTATTTGTGTTACAAATAATAATAAAATGAATGTTTGGATTAGAATATGATTGCTGTTTTCTGTTTAAATAATAATAATAAAAAAAAAATAAAGTATTACTTACTGCCTTTGAAATTAAATTTGGCACCTCGCCCTCCTCTGCCATCACGGCCGCCACGACCACCTCTCCTCCCTCCTCTTCTACCACGTCCACCACTGCCTCCTCGACTTCCCCTCCCTCCACGACCACTTTCCATATTTCCATAATAGTGATATATATTATTGACCATATTGCTTAAAATTTTTTTTAATTAATTAGAATTGTATACATATTAATGTTAATAAATAAATGTTCACTTACAAATTTATAATTGATATCTTCTTTTATATATATAAACCTTTGGATGCTCAAATCCAACTGAGGGTAGTGCTGTAGTTAACTAGAAAGCTAGTTCTCTATAATATTATCAATAGATCTCTACTCAAAATATTTAGCGTCGTCGAAAATTCGACGATAATCTATTTAAAGGCTTGATGCTTTTATCATTATTCATTGTAGGATATAGTTATAAGCTATTTATTTATGTAAATAGCTGTTTTGAAATATAGCAATTTCAATTACTTTTATAGAATATTCATAAAATTATACATCTACAAATCGCTCTCAGTTTAAATTTTATTTATTAATTAGTAATAATAAGATGATTTCATATCATACAAATACTCCCTCTTTTACATATATTCGTATTTATTTATTTAATAAAATATTAATATTATTAGTGTGTCCAATATTTATTAACTATGTAAAATAATTATTATTGACTTTAAAAAAAGATGCTAAAGGCTCAGTATAATTTTTATTAAAATCATTTTTAACATAAATCAATTTTAACATTAAAATAGCATGTTTTTTAACTGTGGCAGCCGTTTGCACGTAGAAGATAAGTCGTCGGGACAAATTTTTTTTTTTAATTTATAGTAAGTAACATAAGCTTTAATTTGACATATGTTTAATGGTCGCAGTATTTCCTGGAACATATTCAAATGTTAATTTGATGAAAGCTGCTATTTTGAATCCCCTCTTGTGAGCAGGTAAAGTGTCAGATTTTCAAAAAATTGATATCAAATAAAAGGAAAATATCTAAGGTTTCAATTTAAAAAAATTATTTTGATTTGTTCATTTTTCAATAAGCTATGACAATTTTTAGAAAAAAAAAGTGAAAAAAATGTTGAAATTTACCGATTTTAATAATCGTATTTTTTGGGAGGGATTTTCACCATTTACGGGAAACGAGGAAAAATGTTTTAATTTTTGAGGGTAATGTCTTTAACTAGATACGATTTGTGATCTTTTGACATATCGTTAAGAAAAATCGGTCCAGTGAGAGCTGAGAAAAAATAGTGACAGACAAAAAAAAAATAAACACATCATGGTAAAATTAATACTAATGATGGGAAATGTCGAATAGTAACTATCGAACTATTCGATAGTCATTCAAAAGCTTTTCGTTAGTTTAGAAAATATTTCATAGACTATTAGAATAGTTTTTAAAACTATTCGGTACCTCCATTCGAATAGTTTTTAAAATATTTGACAGTTTATGCTAAAAATAAAATATTCTGTGGTATATACACAATTCAAATAGTTAATCGATAGTTTAAAATATTTGAAAATGTCCATCATTAATTTTTTTTATTATTAATTATATCCTATTTATAATCGTAGTACCCCGAATAAACAGTTTTAATTAATCCTATTTAGATCGTTAGTGTTATTAAAACAGCAAAACTATAAATCTGACTATAATTTTACATAAGACCAATATTTTAGAAAACTTAACTTTACATATTTTTTTTTATGGAACATTTTGTTGTATAATGATCATTTCGAAAATTAGGAATGATTTGTATTCATAAAATGAATTTCAGCAAATTATTTTTTTGATCGAGTAAAAATAATTTTAGAATATTTTTATAAATACCATTTTAAAAGAAAATATTTAAATCTATAATTTATATTCTATACATTGTTACGCTAAGTGTGTTATTTTGAAAAATAATAATCAAAAACTGAAAAATTACCTTTTTGAGCAAATTTTCAACCCTGATTCGGACTTGAAGGGGGTAAGTTATCAAAACCAAATTTTACACAAATAATTTTCATATTATAAAATACAAAATTGCTGGGTTTTGGAAATTTATTTATTTTCTTTTGATTATTTTTTAAAACTACTCGATAGTTTACTCGAATAGTTTTTAAAACTATTTGAATAAAAAACACTATTCGGTTGTATAAAAACAATTTGAATAGTTATTCGACAGTTTAAAATATTCGAAAATGCCCATCACTAATTAATACCTTCTCAGATTCGCATCGAAGCTAAAATTTGAATTACTTCATACTATTAAATTTAAGATAAAATAAATTTGAAAAATATATAGCTCTCACAAAGAAAATAGTGTTTAATTTTCCCAATCAAATCTTAATAATTTCATTGGATTATGAATTTCACTGTTAATGGTTATATGATTATATAAATATTATAACTAAAACAAATACATAATAATAATAAACAATGAAAAAGTTAAAGAACAATATTTCTTTGATGTTTTATTTTGTTACCTTATCAATTTTGAATGTAATAATTATTATAATATGATGCTATTTAACTAATGAATGGATACTCAACTTTAGAGCGGTAAAATAAGTTTACTGCAAACAATTTTTCAACTCAAAAATTTTTAATATTTTCAATAATTTTTAGTTTTAGATATTAATATTTTAAATATATTTTTAAATTAATGTAATTTAATATCATTTGTTGCTATAAGTGAAGAACTCATGTTAATTATAATGTTAAAAATTGCAAATATTAAACTTGTTTGTAATGTTTAGCATTCAAAACTTTTGTAATAATAAATACATAATTTATTTGAATATTGGCTTAATAAAGTAATCGAAAAATAATTTCATTTAATTATTCGCTCATGTTACCATTGAATTTTTTTTATTTTAAACGTGAGTGATGCTGTACAATTTTTATGCCCACATTCTATTTTTTCGTGTCTAAGAGCATCCATGACTGTGTAGTTGCTAATAGCATTTTCTATAATTTTTTAAATTTTAATTTTACAGGACGTTTTAAAAAATAATTATAATTATTTTTCATGTAATATTTACACAACTCAATAGTATCAAATCAAAAAACGATTACTATTAATCTTGTATTATTGTTTTTGATTGTCATTAAATCTATATTGTTAAAAAAAAATAACAATACGTTAGAAATTTCTTAGAGTAAGAGAATATAATTTGCTTGTAACTTTCTTAACATACATTTTTGACATTTATAAATCAATATTAAACCATTTAATTTTTTAAAAATGTGTCAAAAATCACTTCACTTCTTTGAAAGTTTCCAAAAAGTATAATTATACGATAGTACGTCATGAAAAACTGAACGTGAAAATGTTTCAGGTCTGATAGATAGCGTAGTATGTTCTGTTATGTTTATTGGTAATCTTGTTCAGTGCTGTTGGAACGCATGTCCCTCCTCGTCACTTCATTTCTTTTCCGTTCGTGTACCGTCTATTGGTTTGTATTTGCAGCCGCCAAGATCACCGTAACTACGCCGCCGATACCCCTCCACCTCACCTTGTCATAGTTTTAACGCGGTGCGACCTACTACGTTGGGGAGGAACGGCAGCAGCAGCAGCAGGCAAACCATTCGACCAGGTTAACTGGTTTTTCAAACAGTTTTTTGTCGATCGCCGGGCAAGCGGTCGTCGGACGTTATAACCTTCTTTACTCGCTCTTAGATTTATCAATATTTTATGTGTTGATCGTTTTCGTCTGAACGTTAGCGAACAGAGTTAATTTCTTTCGCATAGTCTTATAACGGTTTTTGTTGGTTTACCATTTTTATTATTTAATTGTTGCAGTTTTGCCGGTGATTAGTGCGTATATTGTACTTGTAATTAACCGACCATTAACGCCATGTTGGGGTTTAGACATCGTTTTCGTCGCCGTCGTTAATAAATTGTCTAGACGTTGTGATTAGGGCGATAGTGTGTTACGTTATCTAATAGTTGTGATTGAAGAGAAGCAAAAATAAAAATGCTGTGTGCCGAAGAGATAGCTAGTAGCATAGACGAGCAGGACGCTGGAGCATTCAAGTCACCAATACGACGTCTCGGTTCGACTAGGAAAATTCTGTACTTCAACAGTAAGTTTACTTGTTATATAAATTGTTTTTTTTTGTGGTGTTTTTGTACTGTGTAAATTGTTAGGTAGAAATTTAGGGTCACAAATTGCAATAGGCTCGTGCGCATTTATTAACTACAGGTCTGCGGCCTTTATGTTCCTGTGAAATATAATACGGATACAGCATTCCTCTTAGAAAGCAATGACACACAATAATAGATTTCGGTGTAAAATCACAATGATGTCGCACTTCTCACAAAATATGTCTCGTCGGTTATTTCAATCTGAACGTTTTGCACCTTACGTTGTATTAAACAATTAATTGTGAGATAAAAATTATCTAACGTCTTTTTATTAAAGTAATTAGTTTTATTGTTGTATCCATTTTTATTTTTTTCGTTGCATTCTGAACACCAAGACTGTATGGGAAGACCTTCGAAGATACTCAAAGGATTTAGTCGGATTGCTTCTATTGTTTTAATACATTTTTAAAAGAATTAAATGTATACTCTGTCGTTTCATTTATACACAGTTTACACCTTTCAAATTAATTAAATACTTGATTAAATCATGATTGGTCATGGTATCTCGTATAATTAACTAGAGAAATTATCAGTGATTCATTGAATCAAACTGTACTCGAGATACAGAAAATTGTTAATTTTCTCATGACGAGTGTACTCTTATCATGCAAGGTTAAAACATCAGTTAACAAGTTTTTTCTTCTTTACAACAACGTTAGGAATAAAGAAATTTAACATACTATTTATAACCAAATAAAAATAATGGGTTATTTCGTATAGTTACTCATTGTTCTTTGTACTATTTAATAAATAAAGAATGTCACACTATAAATACAGTAAGTACAGTATAGATTTTTTTGCATCTATATTATATTATATAGAATCTTTATGCCATACATTACATTTGGCGAGTGTATGTGAAAATTAATTCTTAAAACTAATATTTTTAATAAATTTTCGGTGAATAACTAACATATTATATTCTAGTTTTTGGATAAAGTTTAAAAACTACAGTAAATAAGTATCAATGTAGATTTTTTAGTCAAATACCGTATTCTACTTATTTGGAACTACAATGCAATAAAAACTACTAGGTTGAAATAATAGATTTAAAAAATAAATGTTTTTATTCGTCTTAATAGTACCTTCAGTTTAATAAGACCAGAGACCCTAGTCTTGCGGTTTAAACATAAAAATATCAGACTTAAAGTTCATACACTAAAATTATTATTTCGTTTGTCTCATTGGAAAACAAATTTGTAGCACCTCTTGTTCACTAATAAATAAAACACTTATAAAATACTTATTGTCCGCCATAACATTTTCATCGTCTTATTTGTTTAATAGATTTAAATATTGAATTAGTTTTATTCATATTTTTAACCCGAATTGAAAAAGTAATATTAAGTGGGCAATAAAAGTATTTCCTTGGTTTTGTCCAGTTTCATAGTGGATTATAATATCTGGACAGACCTAAGCTTAACACTATTGTTATTTTAGTTAACCCTTAAGTTGAATAATAACACATTGAATAACTTATCGCAATGAGCTAGGCTGACATTAGTCAGTAGTAACAAATAAAAATGTACAACTCATAAATTATTCATGTACACAAACAATAGTACACCAATGTTTTGTTGGCAACTTAATCGTTAATAATTTAAAAGTAATGGCATTTAAAATGTCAATATAACTGAAAAATTAGAGTTATGATATTTTTAACGCTAATAATTACATAATAAATGTATGATACGTATAATACGTTGAAGGAAGTATCATTAAAATTCCTGTGTAAAGTTAGTGAACTATCATATTATTTAATTGTAAATTATTTCATAACGGGGGAGGGTTCTTAATGAATTTTAGTGTCAAATATTAACAAGTTATAGAAATTTATATACATATTTTTTTATTGAAATGTAATAAGTGCATTGTGAAAGGTTCGAGGTTTCTTTAAGTAATTTAAATGTATACAATTTTGGAAAACATCTTTGTAAATATGACATAAATCAATCAGTTGGAACATAATACATGTTATGTAACCATGATAGATTTTGAAGAATTAGATAAATTGTTGTTTAAATATCTTTTATTTATACTTCATTAATTGGAATCTTTAAAGTATATTTTGCACTATAAGTGCATTTATAAATGGATTATTAAAATGAATGTAATTATGTATTATTATAATTATATATTATCATTATGTAATTATATTATCGATCAGTTTTTAAATTCTAAAATTTGTGTTAGCTAAAATTATAGTTTTTAAGCATTAATTTACCTATACCTGCAGTATAGATCACTACAATAAAATGTCATCAGCCGTTATTCTTATACCAGGTGTAAATAAATAAATATTGTGCAATGAAAGTTATAATAATGTATACCGAGTTAAATTAAAAGTATAAAAATGTGTGTATATATATATATATAAAATACTTTCGAGTTCCTCAGATATAAATTGTGAAATTTATTTATTTTGTTTATTTCAAACAAGAATCAGTTTGACCTCTACTTTGACTTTTAACAACCCTTAGCGGAAATGAGATAAAAAAAATCAAATATAATGTTTTTTTCTTTTTCGATAAGGATTGTTTTGGGCTTTAGTGTGTAAAATCAAATCTGGTCGTTGCATAACATTATCCTTTTTAATCTATATAAATAATAATACGTGAATACATAAACTAACAGCAGGTTTTCATTGTCAAGGTATTAAACGACAATAGGATGGTGGGTATGATATTATCTGTCAAAACTTCTCAGGTACAAATAATACACAATAGAATATTATCATTGATTTACCATTTACAGCCAAGTTAAACTTGGTAGATCATCTTCGACAAAAACAGCTCTGCAGCTGTTAATAGAGAAAATATTGGGGTGTTGTAAACAATGGCGATGATAAAATTGTTCGTGGGCGAACGTTGACATTTTGACACAGGCGCTGTTTCTATTTATTGGACATTAAATTTTAAAATATAATATCCTCTTTATGTACAACGTTTTTCGCATTGCCTAATGTTTTTGCCACAAAAGACACTTATAAAATTCCTTATAAGCTACTGTAATAATTGATAATATATTGTAATATAAAACCGAAAAACGAATAAAATTTATAAATTTTATTCTATTTTACGACTAAAAACGAATCTTTCACACAATAGAGATGTACACTGATAGAAATTAACATAACTGTAATCAATGTTTTGTTATTTCTCAATAAAATGTGCTATGGTTGAAGTACTACATTTTAACCTAATTTTATTTATGTCAAAGATGATTTTGAGTCTTAAGAGTTTGTTGTACGTAATATAAGTAACTTAATTTTCGTCTACTTACCAACTACAGGTAGGTGCTAATAGTTTTTCTAGAATATACTTTTTAGGGTCATAGTCCTACCGAGTTGTGTGATCAACACACATCACCAAACACGCAAAGAATGGCCGTCGGCGAATGTGTAGATAACATGAAATACTTTTTGCCGGTATTTGAAAATATGCGGTGGCATTAGAGGACACTGCCATCGATGCTGAGATTGTTGTTGTCATTTTACATTGTGTTTTCGTTATTATATATATCTCGGTGTAGTACTTCAATGAACGTAAACAAAAAGAAAAATAAATACAAAAAAAAAAATAGTGATTCGACATAAGTCAAAAAATTTCACATACAAATATTGACACAATCGTATCGTTGATATAGTGTCGACAATAATTACTTGGAATTGAACGGATATGCAAAAATCGCGTGTAAGACTAAACCCTTTGAATTTGTACATGATATTTCTTTACTACAAACTGATATGGTGTTTTATTAGTAGCCAGCAGATGTTCAATATATGTTTGTATATCCTTTCGTCGACTATAATGTATCTACTATGATATTTTCGAGTTAACATATTACTGAAAGACCACCACAACCATCAGGTTACCATATGGCCACCGATAGTGTTTAAAATGTTAGAAGTATAATTAATCATTTAAAACAGTCCAATGAAAAGTCGAAAATACATAGCAATGATGATCTAGTTACAGTAGTGAAACTTGTATTATATTATTGATATCATGTACTAAAATTTACTACTCAATAACTGTTTATTTATATATATGATAATAACAATTGCGGTGATTGTAATGGTTAAATTTATTATAATTATATTACCTCTAGTATCTAAACCCATTTTATTATCTTTTTTGAGAATCATATGTAGAGATGAATATGAATAAACATTTGCTTCTCCTAAACACAGATATGCTAATCTCGGCTAATCCTAATTATATATATTGTTTTGATAGAATAAAATCGCACATAGCTTTCACCTTAGTTGAGACACTATTAACCTGATCAAAAGAAATATTAACTTAAGTTCATATTTTATTAAGCCTTACAAAAATATTTATAAATTTTAAATATTATAAATTAAAAAGAAGTATATTCTAATCAATGATTATGTCAAATAATTTTGAATGTTATGATAGTTTTTTGAGTAAGCCAGTCAAAAAAAACTATAAAAATGTGATCTTGATATATTTGATAGCGTATGTAAAATTAAAACATTAATTTCACTTGCAAATTAAAAGTGCCATCTCGTATTAAAACCACACCAATGACAAAACCAATCACGGCATGTTGTTTCAACAACATTTCTATTAACTTTTTTTAACTCTCGGTGCGCTTTAGTCGCCATTTAAATGATAACACTTCCCGCAAATGACGAGTATTTGCCATAGCGGTTGGTTTACCATATGTCTCAGTTTTAGAAGTGTCAAAGTCGACCAGCACTTGCTGCTGAAGTCATCTATTCACAAACTGCGAAAATTTAGTAGCGCGCCTAATATTTTATACGAAAAAAACATTTAGAAATGATTATTGCAATAAATTTGACAACAAAGGAAAGAGAACTCATTTAGCCTTATGGGATTTTATAGGTCTAATGATGCTTCACAACTTTTTAATTAATTTTTTATCGACTACTTTCGGTAAATTATATGCTACTACTGCGCGTTTGTTGAAAACACAACGCGTTTGCATATATATATATGGTGTGGCATTGCATGTCTTCTGTAACATGAGGGTTGTATTTTACGTGCACTCCACGTACACATTGCATTATAGTAGTTGATTGTGAAGGGTAAATGTAAAAGGACGCTAAGGTACCAGCCGGCCTGTCGCCCTACAGCTAAAAACATAACCTTCTGAAAACTGTTAAATATGTGGTTTGAAAAAAGAGCTAATAAAGGTTCATGAATACGTAACTGTGTTAGTAGACATATATTTTTTGAGAAATTAACGATGATCGGTTTAGGGGTCCATAACTTAACAATATTGTGACACGACCAGAACGATTTCGACACTTTTAAATGCTTATAAATACTAATGGTTAATAATAACAGCTGGGAATGCTTATGGAAATCTTTATAGTGCAAACGTACAGTGACATTTTATTAAATAGCAGTAGACCACGTTCATCGCAGTTGTATTTTATGACCCAGGATTCATGATTTTCGACAAAACCGGAGGAGTATTGTTATTAGTAATTTGGATGGTGAGGGTCGAGACTAATTCAGTTTACAAGGTTCAACGGACTGAGAAAATAATAGATTTTTCGTTGTATTCTCCGATATTAACAAAATCTTTTTACATTTTAACAGCTGTGTCATCGGGATCTTTAAATGC